TGTTACATCGTGTCCCTCGAGCAGAGAGAGTCCATTGGGCAACTCTTGCACGTTGCAGGGACGAATGGAGACGTTACTGGCGCCCGCTCGAGGAACTCGATGATCAACGGGAGCACAGGTGATACAGATCATGAAGAGTCTCCAAACAGATGAACTCTATGAGCTTACTAGTTTGTGGCAATTAATAGTACGAAAACCGAGAAACTAATCCGCACGCGATTCGTGGGCATTTTATTACGTCGGTTGGTCCGCGGTCTACGAGTGAATGATCATAAGGGTTAATACGCTCGCTAGAGTTCAGTGAAGTAATGGAGAGTTTTTGATCGCACAGAGTCGAGCGATACCTATATAATGCACTGAGATTGCCCTCACAAAGCACTGCCTAGCTCAGTCTAGATGCTATTTATGTACGATTCTCATGTTTGTAGTCTTGATATCCACTATTTCCGCAACTCGAAATCTAAAAATTAGCAGGAGAAAGCAAAATAGTCGACCTTAGGTGCTCGAGCCCAGATCTCAGGTTTAGCGGCCTAGTGCGCCGTGCATTATACTGCTAACGCCCCATACTGTACAGTCCCCTCCGAAGACAATCGCTTCCACGTTTCAGATGAGTGGATCCGCAGCTACAGACTCTCGGGGACCAGCCAAGCGGGAGCGCAAACACAGTATAGATAAGAGGCGAAACAGCGTGTCGCTACCCTCCAGCGCCATTCAGTGCTTTTTTTAATCGTAGGAAATGCCACGCTACTGTAGCTGCGGACCCAGTCACCCTACACAAGGCAGAAACCAGGATCCGCGGGGTGTATAGTTTGTCTTCCGGGGCATCATTGGAGAGTGCCGTATGAACGGAGAGAAAACATCCTTGGCGCGTTTCTCCTCTCCCTAATATCTTTACGGGGAAGAACGCATTGAGGTAGAGCGCCAGCGATGCTGTTCCCTGGAGCTGTCCTTACGGCAAACCACCATGATGTCTCTAATGCCTCTTGTACCAAACATTACGGCAAACATTTAGCAAACAGCAGTAAGCCTATTGTGGATAAGCTGCTTTCATTCCGACAGCATACTCCTTAGAAGCGTTTTTTGTTAACCTTGTGGAGAAAAGCAAGAAAGGAAGTTACAGGGTTCCAGTCATAAGAAAGACCCTTGGGAGGTTAGTGTGAAAGGATGAGTAGTAAAGTGAAAACAAAAAGAAATATTCACTTCTTCGCTCAGACCTAATGATGATGGGCGTTATCGCGATGTTTGAACGCAACCTAATCAGTGAGACTAAAGACATTTGTTACTGTAAGCACCCTGTTCGGGTTCTAAGGGCTGAAGAATCCCTAAGCCCATACTGGTTGTTTACGGTGGGAGCTTATTCGGTGACCATTCAGAGAGTCGTTAAAAGTATACCATCAAAAATGTCACTAAAAACGCCCACTTTGTCTCGTCTTTACAGTTTTTTGCGGAATCAATTACAGTGCGTCTCTATTAAGAGTCACCTCACACTTTCAGGACTCAGCAGAATTCCACAAGTGAAGGTAATGATCGGGAAGGTGCTCCTTCTCGCGTTTGTGTTTGACAGCGCCATTTCTTTAACGGAACGTGGACGAGTTGCACTGCTGAAGGTAAAAGTTTGCTGAAATACGTTCACTGTTGCTAATGAAGTCACTGTAGTCACAATATTGAGACAAGGAAGAACGGAATCACTCATTGTCACGTGTCATCTTATTTTTTGGCGGGGTAGTGTCAAAAAGCACTCTAAACACATGGTCCGGGGTTCGAATCCTGGAACTTCTCCGGATCGGCCCAGGCCAACCAAGCGAATCTCCGGGCAGGTAGAATTGGTAAATGATCCGTATGGGAGGATAAAACGCTGACTTGTACATCAGTAGTTCCCACAAGTCATTGTGTAGGCCATATCGTATTCATAAAGCCACAAAGATTTTGAATGAAAGTATAATGCTCATCTCCCAAAAGGATTGATCAACGCCGAAGTTCATCTCTTTTACCTTCTCTTCAGGACTCCTTTCTTTAACATGAGGGAAACTTGTACCGAAATGTGTTCCTTGCGAACATCGCAGGCTCAACAAGACTACGGGGGAGGGGGCCGATACATCCCACATCCGTGCATTGGCACTAACAACTGTAACGCATAAATCATGCGCTCTGGCATAAAGGGGATATAAGAGTCACACTTTAGGGTTTGATCTATCTCCCCTGGACAACCTATTGGAAAGTCTCCTTCGAGGGAGAATTTTGATAGAAATTCAGCTCAGATTCAAAAAAAGTGGTCTTAAAGGGGAAGCAGTATCGTTGGTTGAGAAGGCAGGTATATCTAGTCTCCAACGCAACATATTAAAGTGGTAAGCCAGTCATTTATGTTCCTATAACAGATGATGACACATTTTCAGGCGCATAGAGGCATCGACCTGGAAAAACGTCATGATAGACTGAGGAACCTCGGTTCGAGAGGGATTGGTCGAAAATTGAAGGAAAACCCAATTCTCGCAAATGCAACGGCTTCAAATGACGTGAGCTTTTCCGCTAGTTGAGGGCTGACTTCACTAATGTAGAGGACTACTACCTTTAAAGGAAATGGTTGGAGCAAATATCCCTAAACTGGAAGATGGAGCATCTATTGAAGAAGTGAATCGAGTGGAAGGAGTCGATGAGTATTTGTTTGATGCCGATGTGATCCTTTCTGAGTAAGTGGAAACTACATCGCAGTTGGGAATCATCTGCAATGCTCAAAGATGACACAGATAAGGGATTTCTACGGGCCAGGGGTAAACGATGCGCTATGACGAGGGGTTGCGGTGCTAACCCGAAGTCTTACAAATTACACCTTAGTAATCCGTATAAGCCACCGGAAGAAATGCATTTCAAATCTGAGGACAACGAGGGACGCAGCTGTGAGGGCGAGGGTCTTTACGAAAAAGAGAACGTGAGACATCTCTTCCAGGCACATCTTCCTTTGCCATTACAGACGGAGATTCAATCGAGCTCAAGTGCATGGTCTACGTCGGGGACAGGGCACGCCATCTTTGTGATCATCACAAGGGGGGTCGTATTTGCCCGCGATGGAGGGGGGGGTCGTAAACGCATGGCCCATGTTGAAGTGGAGAGAGCGGTGATACACGGTACAAGTGAAAAGAAGCTCAAAAGGGACGATGTAGATGATAATAAATAGAACTAGGCACTATCGATTATTCCTAGTCCAAGAACTAAAAAAATATTGCTGAAACTTTTTCCTCCTTCCTCAAAAAAAACTTCAAGGCACTCGCCCACCAACCCTTCTTCATCTGGTCTAGATAAATCCCAATCCACTAATCCGCAAAATCTAGAAAAGAATCCATTGCAAAAGCTACCTATGAAACCGTAGAAATTGAATCCTGAGCAATTTCCTCACAACAAAATCAAACTCAACAAAAAAATAACCAAATAATTCACAATCAAATGGATAAGAAAAAAAAACTCACCAGGCCAGCTGGGAACCGGAACTATGGATACTTTTGAATTTTGGCTGTTCGCGGTCAGCGCGCTCATACAAGCTCATTGGTGCGCGCACGTATTTTTACGCGCTGGAGCCAATAAGCACAAACACGTGAAAAGTACCCCTCATTTGAACACCCATAACTTCGTTGAAAGTGAAGCTATCGGAGAGGGGTAAGTGGGAATGAGTAGAGCTAGGTTGGCTCTTGTCACCTGAATTGAGCGATTTCAAAAACGTTCCGATTCCAGAGATTTTCCCCGTTGTGATCATCGTTGTGATCCGTCTGTGATCATTTTTGCGAACCGCGAGTCGCTACGCTTTGGACGTCCATGGCAAGCTTCATACACGGCCTTTCGTAAAAAAAAATTGTGCCGGAAGCTTGAAGATTTCTGCTTTCCCAGCAAGGCTTTTTCTTCCTAGGCCTGCTATTCGAAAAAATTCCCCGTTGTGATCATTTCGTGACCACCCCCCACGACACGAAAAATCAGCCCTCCGAGGCCATGAAACCTCCAGTTGGCTTGAAGACTTTGGTATGCGCCAATTGGCATCACCTCTGCAATGCGCCATGCATGGACCTTTCACGCAAGTGTTTGGAAGGTGTAACTTCTAGATAGGGCTTCCCAAATTGCAAGCAAATGTGCTCCTGCAATCAGAAAAGTCCGGGAAATGTACTTTCGTCTGTTCCGTATATCTTTTCCATTGTTTATAAATTCATGGTGCCCTTGTGGAGCGGCGATCGTAGCTCCTATCATCGCCCCTTCCTCGTACGTATTGTCAGTATGCTACACCAGCGCCAGAGTGCTGGACGTGCTTGGGACGTACGTAGGTACTGCGACCTCCCCTCCCCCCCCCCGCTCGACAGCAAAATTTTGTAAAAAAACCAGAAATTTTTTGGGAAAAAATAGACAAAGTGGTAGGAGGTTGGAAAAATCTAGGGAAGAGGTAACATGGGGAGGGGGGTCGTACTTGAAGATGGAATTAGGGGGTCGTATTTTTCAGGAAATGATCACAACGCAATGGCGGGCCCCTGGTCGAGGAGTTCATAGTTCCGTTACAACACCCACTAGCTTGCCGTTCAGTGTGAAGGATAAAGATAAGTCTGGACTAACATCACTCGGGGCTTAGCGTTATTCTTGAGAATTCCCTAGCTAATTCATTTCTGATAACCGAGACTGGGTGTACTGTGAGGTGCATACAACCCAAAACTTTACGCCAATCTGCGTGGTCACTCAGAGTTACACGTACAAGGCGTTAAGCAAGGGGATCCCTTCAACTGTTGCAGGACTTCTTCTCCAATCTACGGGGAAGGTCGGCTTCTAAATAATTCTTTCCATAGCTCCTTAAATCGTCACAACGCTATAGGCGATAGTACTCGCCGCTTATTATAGCCCCTGATCTCAGAAAAATAAACTTTCCTATAGCCACGTGAATCACATTACAACTAATAAAGCGTTTCAGTGAGCAACTAAGTCTCCTTGAGAACTCCGCGGAATATCACACCCGCAGAAAGCGTCAAATCCATGAATATGCTACTCGGTGGGAGAACAACAAAGTTTATTACTATTTCGACGCAAGCATCAGTAAGCTTCTAGGAGCCTATATCGTAGCACTTTTCCTGGCAGTTTTCCCTCCCCATTTTCAGATTCTACCACTCAAGCCTACGTTAGGACGGTCTTGAAGTACATCCAGGCTCGTACCTGCATCGATTTTATTGAAGATGCTACAGCAACGAATCGTATAAGAGTGTTCAATGGAGGTGGCTGTTACTCCAGCCTTGGAATGGTTGGAGGCGAGCAAGACTTATCGCTAGCTGGATACTGTATCGTTGTAAGTTTACGATTTCAATATACCCTATATCTCAGAGAGGGAGAGAGCGTGGCTGCATTCTCGCACGGAAGCAACGATTTCGGTGGTGTATTACCCCACTTCGAGGCATTTCTAATTAGATTTTTGTCTAGCCCGAAATCGAAGGTCATTTTCTCAAATGGAAATATCTCATGAAAAGTGAAACCCTACGCTATGTTCAAATGTATCACGGAGCCACGCCCTCTACATCCTACTTATGTGGTGTTCAGGTGGAGTAAGGAGTGACAGCATCTGCAGCGTATTTGTTGTCCATATCCCCACGTTCAGTGATTGGCGTAGGCGTGGCTGCCGCACTATCTGGACGTGGGAGGCAGGCGAGCACTTGCTGAAATCTCGTTTCGAGGGAATCGTAGTCGTGCGTTTGTCCAGCACAAGATGAGAGAATAGCTGCCCCAATTGGAATTCTTCCACAAGAAACTGCTTTTACTACACATTCCGAACAAAATACGCATGGACCCCCTCTATCCCCCACTGTATTTAATGTACACATGCGCGTATTCTGGAGTTTAGTAGCATATGGAATAAGGAATTTAGGAGCAGGGCACATCGTCGTTAGGGAGTCTTTTCGCTAAAAGGACCCTCTCCCCTCGAGTTTTCTCTTTCCGTTCGATTCCTCTCAATGCACCAATCTAGCTTTTACCAAGTTCCTCCGAAATTTCGCCGATTGGAGTTATCAGGGAGGGGGCGGGACAGATATCTCCGATCGACTGCAGTAGCAGTAAATTCCCGCGCCGCCTTGTAGAGAAAGCTGTAAAACAAATGGAATGGATGGATGGAGGGGCTAAATGCAGCCCACGTTGTTTTTTCCGACGCTTATGTGGTCCGTTCGCTACGACACCGTTCGCTACGACATAATGAGATTCTTTCAGGTGGGCACTGTAGCCCATGAATTCACGCACGCTCTCGGATCACTGCACATGCAAAGTCGGAACGATAGGGACACATATATTACAGTCGACACTACTAATGTGAAGGTAAAGTCACATCCATTTATTTCACATTTGACACTATTTACTATTTACTGACCAACAAATCAGGTCACATTTCAAAATGAACACGGCGTATGCACATTCTGCTCGACCCGAAGCTCTTTGGCACCCGCGTATCTGGCATTGGCGCGAGGCGGTTTCGTGTGGTGTAATAATCGTGCCAGACGAATCGAAGATCGGACCCAAACCTCCAAATCTAGGAGCAGTGAGGGGTAAATAGTGCCTCTTATGAGTAGTAAATGGTCATATAGATGAAATAAGAGCCAGTCAGGAGGAAAATGTTGAGACGCTGGGAAAAGATCGCAAGTAAAAAGCAGATGCGGGCGCTGTGGGCTCTAGGTCGGTATGCTGTAGCTTGATAAGGATGTAAGGGTACCTACTTTGGGGGAGGCGCCACGCAGGATCATCCACAAGAGAACTATAGTGCAGACCGTTACCTAGCGGCGTCGGATGTGGGCGTACCTACGTAAGTACCTTCTGACGATTGACGAGGTCTAAGCGCGTTCGCCAGCGTCGTATGCTACCTATTAGACCGGACCCAGGCAGTTCCTTACGTGGGGGAATCCCCAACGGGAGAGGGCCTTGGTCGCTTTGCGGAAGAGAGTGGATCGCTTCTGGTTTGCGAAAATCTTTTTGATGGCTGATTTTTTCTATTTCACGCGGGGTGAGGGTCAGGACAGTAGGAACTTAGGAATCGTATTTCCCGGAAATTTTCCCAGCGCCAGCCGACAGTACCTGCGCGGGCACCCGTTGATGGAATAAGATGGTGCCGCGTCAAACATGTGTACGTGGCAACGCTTCAATTCGACGCCCCGATAGGTGATACAATGAGATTGGCTAGGTTAGTCGCCACATTCAATAGGCTCCCGCTCTTCACACATACTGAGCGCCCTTGTCGAAATTAGCAGGTTTTCAATGTAGCACTTTTAGGAAGGCTATGGGAGCCAATTCAACAAGGCAACATATACAATCAACAATACGCCATACGAATACGGCAGTGATATGCATTACGGTGCCGACACGTAAGTGGTTGAAAACTTACATATCTCTTTGCCTCCTTTGCCTGGATAAATCAACTTCTCATCTTTCGTAGATGGGTGTAGTCCATGGTTTCAGAGGTGCGGCATCGCGCGCAGACAGAGTAGTCCTCACTAGTTGACCTTGAATATGATGCCATCCAGAGCAAAGATTGCCATAAAACTCACGGCCCGTCACTCTGTCGCAGAAAACATGACATGCTACTGTACCGCCACCTTGAATCTGTTGAGCCCTAAGAATGGCACCACTCACCGCCTCTCCTTCGCCACCCTCGCCGAGCCTCGGATGTCTTGAGCTGCATCTCTCGTAAGCATGTAGTCAGCCACATTCCTTTGTTCGTCTGCATTATGACATCTTGAACTTTTGTACATGGCCCTGTCGCTTGCGAAATCATGTAACGAGACAGATAGAGGACAGCACCTGCCAAAGCATCAAGACGTGTAAAAAAACTATAGCAGCCAGGAAACGAACTTTTTAAGGGGAGGGGACTCCGGGGTGGGTGAGCCACTTATCATACGTGAAAAGCTGGAATGTGCGAAGTCACAATGACCATAGAGTGCCACGCGGACGAGAGAGAGCAGAGAAAAACACAAATTCGACGCGTTCAAAGGAATTGAGTTCGAGTTGTCCGCAGACCCTCGTGCATGTTAAAAAAGAGGACCAGTCATGTGGTCTTTCAAGGAGGTTCAGGATGCACGAGAAAAACGGTGGTGAGTTTCCGGGCGAACTTCCTGTCGCTAGGTACTCTCTTGGTTTACTTAGACGCTCCATTCGTCAGCAAGAGGGTTGAACTTCCACTGGTCCCAACTCCTTTTCCAACGTTACCTTTGTAGAACCTTGCTTGTCTGGTGTACGGTGTCTAATCATACATATAGTTGCAATAAAATAGCAAAAAGTCTACTTCAGCATAGGGCGACACAGCAGCAATTACTTCTCACATGGGCTATCATGTGATCGCAGAAATCCATATGCCACCATTTTCTCATCAAATAGCCGGCAAGGTGCTTCACTTCGTCAGCATGATGTCCAATATCTTTGAGCTTCAACATGGCTCCATCGTCGCAAATGTGGGGCATCGATGCTCGCAGAAGACTTAACTGATCCTACAAGGTCACGTTGAAGTGATGTTTCCACAGACTTCTCGGTTCTCGGGCGAGATCCGTTGCTTCTCCAGCATAGCTGAGGGAGGCAATACTGTCATGTACCGCTTCATCGCGGCTTAATAACCAGTTTCTTCTTCTCCCTTCGGCCCCAGTAAAGATTCTGTTTTTCTTACTAATGCCATGATTTCTAGCAACCAAATCTTGTCAAATTGTGGCCATGGTTCAAGAAGCGTGGACGTACTGAAATGGGCGGGCAGCATTAGCAAGACTTGCCCCTACATTTCTTACTAGTGAATATCGGAACAGATTCTCAGCCGTGGCAGGGTCAAATACAATGCAGAGTCGAGAATGTTAAAAACTACCAGAAAAAAACCTAAACCTTACTTTGACGGGGCTCTTGAAGAGCACCATATTTGTGCGCTCAGTACTTCGGATCTGCTCGAAGCAAAATCCCCCTATTCGACG